GAGCAAACAAACTAAGCTGAACAAGGCAGTGCAGGGCCCGGAGCTCAAGGCTTGAGATGAGCAATAAATAAACATTCAGGTAGGTCAGCCTTGACAATTTGAAAAATGTGTCCAGGCTGGGAAGGTGGCTCAGTGGTAGAGCACATGCCTTGCATGCATGAGGCCCTGGGTTCGATTCCTCAGCACCACATAAGCAAAAAGAAAAAAAGGCAGAAGTGGCGCTGTGGTGCAATGGTAGAGCGCTAGTCTTGAGCTGAATAGCTGAGGGACAGTGCCCAGGCCCAGAGTTCAGGCCCCACGACCAGACCCCCCCCTAAAAAAAAAAAGAAAGAAAAATGTGTCTATTATTCATTTTCCTTTAATTGCTCATTAAAGTCAAGGTGCATTCCAACTTAACCAAACACAGCAATTACTCTCAAACTTTTAATTTTATTTTTTTGCTGGTCCTGGGGCTTGAACCCAGGGCCTGGGCGCTGTCCCTGAGCTCTTTTGTTCACAGCTAGTACTCTACCCCTTTGAGCCACAGTTCCACTTCTGGCTGTTTTTGTGGATCATAAGAGTCTCACAGGGACTTTCCTGCCAGGGCTGGCTTTGAACCATGATCCTTAGATCTCAGCCTCCTGAGTAGCTAGGATTACAGTTACGAGCCACCAGCTTTACTCTCAGACTTTTAAAATGTAACTTCTGTGATGCCACCCCAGAAATATTTATTTATTTATTTATTTGTAGGTCGTGGGGCTTGAACTCTGGGCTTGGGCACTGTCCCTGCACTCTTCAGTTCAAAGTGAGCGCTCTACCACTTGAACCACAGTGCAACTTTGGGTTTTCTAGTGGTTTATTGGAGATAAGAGTCTCACGGACTTTCCTGCCCGGGCTGGCTTTGGACTGTGATTCTCAGATCTGAGCCTCCTGAGTAGCTAGGATTACAGGCATGAGCTACCGCCTGGCTCAGAAATCTTTATCTAGTGTCTGAACTGTGGGCCTGGGAATATGCACTCTCATCCTCTACGACACACCAAACTACTCTGAGAAAGACTGATTGAGTGTAAATTATCTTCCCCTGAAACTGGGAAGTACTCTCCTATACAATGCAGGGGGAGACCATGGAAGGATTTTCTGGAAAACTCAGAGATACAAGTGCTCTCCTTACAAGGAAGACAGAAGGTATCTGGTCAGACATCTGGGGGAGGAAACTACCAGCAAAGGGAGGGAGCCCCAGCTCTTAGGAACTCTGCCTAGTAACAGGCTGGCCGGGAAAGTACCCAGCATGCTCTGAGACCTTGGGTCCAATCCCTGTCCTCATGAATATGTATGATTCCCCAGATGTCAACTGAGAACCCCTCCTTTCTGCTCAAACACACACACACACACACACACACACACACACACACTTCATCCTTCCTCTTCTCTACAATTCCTGGCAGAATCTCTAGTTCTGTGCTTAAGAACAAAGAAGAAAAAAATAATGTGAATATTTCATTTCAGGGTCAAGGGCACACCCACAGAGTGTATCAGGGCTGGCACCTCCATTAGTGAAGGTGGCTTCGAGCAGTGGCTTCACAAGCATTTTCCCAGTGACACATGAATATCTTATTGTGGGTAGATACAAAATACCATTTTAAAAAATCACACCAAAAAGGCTGCTTACAGCCTGCCCTGAAAGTCCTACGTCCGTGAAGAAGACAAGGGCTCTCGGCGTGTGCTCCATGCTAGACCTTGTGCGTTGCCTTCCTAATATCACTCCCTTCCTCGTTTCCCTTTGTATCTGTCAGTTGTCAAGCAGCTCTGAGCAAGTGACACCCCATCCGCTTCCAGCCCTGGATGGCGCTGAGAAGCACCATGGAGAGGCCGAGACTGGGGATGTGGCTTCTGAAGGAGCCCTGTCCGTCCATGTAGGAGGCCCTGCGTTCCACCCTCAGCACCCACAAACAAGCAAAACAAAAAGCCCAGCTTCGCTAAATACTGATGACTGGAGACCGGAGCGCCTCTGTTCACGTGGACACATGGCTGGATGGCTGCGTTTTCTGGTTTGGGTGGTGATGGTGCTAGGAGTGGAATCCAGGGCCGCTCCACACGACGTCACAAGATCAAGCACTGATGGGCCGCTGAGCTCTAAACCCTCAGCTTCGTCGTAATACTGGAGGGCGGCATTGGTGTGGGCTTCTCAATTTACACTCAGAACTCAGGTCCTTGAGATCCACTTGTGAAAAGCTTTTCCGGGTGTCTTACAAGACAGAGAGGGTTACGGATTTGTTTTACTATAGTAGGGTTAGAGTAGGGAGAAAGAAAAAGAGAAAACATTCTTGCTCCCCATGGTAATGGGCATTAAAGATTCAAAATGGAGGTTTTATATTATTATTATTATTTATTAGTTGGTCATGGGGCTTGAGCTCAGGGCCTGGGTGCTATCCCTGAGCTCTTCTGCCCAAGGCTAGTGCTCTACCATTTTGAGCAACAGCGTCATTTCTGGTTTTCTGGTGGCTAATTGGAGATAAGAGTCTCACGGACTTTCCTTCCTGGGCTGACTTCAAACCTAGATCCTCAGATCTCAGCCTCCTGAGTAGCTAGGATTACAGGTGTGAGCCACCAGCACCTGGCTAGGATACACTTTAAATGGGTGAAATTCCATGTGGTATGGTATGTTTTGGGTTTTTGTTTTTTTTTTGGTTCCAGTTGTGGGCCTGAACTCTGGGCCTGGACGCTGTCCCTCAGCTCTTCAGCTCAAGGCTAGCACTCTACCACTTGAGCCACAGCGCCACTTCTGCCTTTTTTTCTACTTATGTGGTGCTGAGGAATTGAACCCAGGGCCTCATGTATGCAAAGCAAGCGCTCTACCACTGAGCCACCTTCCCAGCCCCGGTATGGTATGTTAATAAGACTATTATATAATTTTTCGATGCTCAGTACACTAATTTTTTACTTTACTATATGTAATTCTAATAAAGTTTAAAACCAAATGCAAAATAATAGTACCATCCTTCCAGAGATACTTGAGAAAATGGGTAGAAAAAAAGGGATGTGGCTGAGTGCTGATTGGGCCACCATGAATCCAGGGCTCTGGGAGCTCAGGGTGGATTGCTACAGTTACCCTTTGTTGTATGCAAAAAAAGTATCAGAATCAAAGCTGGGGGGGGGGAGCAGGGGGCAGTTTCAAGCTAATCCTAGCTACTAAGGAAGCTGAGATCTGAGGAATGAGGTTCAAAGCTAGTCTGAGCAGGAAAGTCCCAAGTGACTCTTAAATCCAAATTAACCACCAAAAACCCAGAAGTGGAGCTTTGGCTCAAGTGGTAGGGAGCCAGCCTTGGGCAAAACGTTAAAGGGCAGCACACAGGCCCTGAATTCAGATGCCAGTCCTGGCACCAAAATGAAAAAGTAAAAATTCAGCCCAGAACAGGGCTGAGGGAATAAAAACAAATCGAATCCCATAAAAACATATTTGGTATTAGCCAAACAAAACAATGCTACCTTTTAGGGTTTTTTTTTTTAAAAAAAATCATAAAGCAGCAGAAAGAAAGCTATTAAGTGTAAGAAACCGGTGAAAACTCACAAACACCTCGGTGTCATTCTGCAAGTATGGAGCGTCTTCTACATGTCCCGGTGAGAGCCGGGCGCCGGGCCAGGCATCTGTGACTCTGGACAGCTGCTGAGCTGTGAAAGTGGGAGAGAGGGAAGAGGCTGCAGCCTCAACCTAAGGAAAAGCTTTATTTTGTCAGGGAAAATCCTGAACCTTGAGTGGAGCTGAGTCTGGAGGAAGCTGAGGACACTTGGGTGAGCAGCTTTGGAGGGACTGCTGGGGTGGAGGCAAGTCTCTACTGACATCTCGCCTTGTGAGTGACAGCCTTGGCTGAATAGAGGGACCCAGCTCCCCTAAACCTAGGTAAGCCTTGAGTTTGGCTGAATAGGAAAGGGCCTGAAACATCTCCCAGGGGCTTTATGAAAATTCCCTTCCCTCCAGTTAGAGCCCAAGACCCTGGCAATTCAGTTCATAGGATGCATTTGTGCAGATGAGGGGTCAAAGCAGTTGGGAGTTGCTCAAGAGCTTGACCTCAGAGCCTCAGGCTAGCCAGAAAGATGGCTGCTCCCTCGATTTCTAGGGCCCTGTCTCTGCCTCTGGCATTTTGCTCCTTAATTGGAGGTAAAGAGTCTCAAGAACTGTCCTGCCCTGGCTGGTTTCAAGTTGAGTAGTGAGAGCCTTGGGTGCTGGGCTTTGTTTACCTTTTTTCAGTAAGAAAAAAAAAGTTTTTGTGTTCTTGTGTGTTTAGATGAACCGCCCTTCCCCTCTCACACAACCGGGGCCCTTCGAATGCTAAGCAAAAACTCCATCACTGTGCTCCAACTCCCAAACTCAAAAAAAAAAAAAAAGTCTGCATATAGGTCAGTTAAAATAAGGTATCCCTAGGGATTGAGATCATCCTTATTTCTTCTTTATTCCTAGCTCTCCCGACCATGCTGCCAATTCTCCTGGTAAATTCTTTAATTCAAAGGAACCTCTGAGTCACCCACGCGAGGAGGACAGTTGTTCCCAGGAGACACGTCTGCCACTCAGCCCCAAGTGGAGAATCTGGCACTTGTACCTGTGTCTCAGGGCCGCCTCGGTCCGTGCACTGCATAAAGCCGAGGGCTCTTATATGGTCAGAAGTCTCGGCATTAGAGTCACAACAAGAGTGACAAATACATATTTATGGCCTATGACAGAACGCAATTAATTATCTTAATGTATTAGGCTCATTCGTAATGTTTGCACAGTATTATTCATGCAAATATTATTTGTGTGTGTGTGTGTGTGTGGGCAGTTGCTAATCAGGCGCTCGGGCCAGATGTGCAAGGGGTTGGGGCTCTCAGGGACACGCTCCCTGGGAGCTTCGATGAACCAATCAGGGCTCGGAAGGCGGGGCTCGGGGAGAGACAGCAGTACTATCCAATGGGCCCTCATCGGGGGCCGGCCCTGGCCAATGGGAGCGCTCCTCCGCGACGCCCCGCCGCGCGGAGGCAGCTCCGGGGGCCGTTGTTCGGCGGCCGTAGGGATCGGCGGCAGTGGCTGGCGCGGCCGCGTTCCTGCTCTCGTCCCGGGTGAGCCTGGCGGTGACTCGCGCCCGGGGACCCCTGGAGGCCCCGGGGGCCTCCGTTTCGGAAGGCGTCTGGCCCGCAGGGG